TCACCTGAGGAATGGATGAAAAAGATGTATTTTTATACAATGGAGTATTACTCAGCTATAAAGAATGATGAACTCGAACCCTTTATATTGAAGTAGATGCCACTTGAAGATATATGTGAAATAAACCAGACACACATGTGTAAATATCGTATAGTTTCCCTAGTATAAAAACTCAAAAGAAGAAATACAAATAGAAAGTTTTAATACAATTAAAAGGAAAGGAAGAACTTGAGGACTAGAAAATGAAGAGTCAGCAAGGATAGAGATAGGAAACATGACAGAGGCAAGCCATACAGTTATATGTAGAAGAGGGGCAAGGCAATGATCCTGAGAATCTCCAGAAGATTTTTGAATCTAGCAGTTAATTGGAATGATTCTCACCATGACTAATTATATATACTGACACCTGTAAGCTAAGCAACTGCACTGAAGATGGTAATTTGTAGTAGTAGGTTCATGCTTGGAGTGCCTGTCGTTCTGGTATTCTGAATACGGGCTGCTTGTCATGACATGCCAGTTGCTGCCGTGCTGTCTCTTGGGTAGATGACTGTTCACAAAGAAGCAGGTGGTGAATGAAGGCAGGAGACAGGAAAAGGAATGTTGTGGGACTGTCCTGCTACAAGTTTGTATATGGTTAGATTTCTGGACTTATGTGTAAACATAAGAATTATATAATTCTTTATGCCTATTTTAAAGATATATTTTAATTTTTTAATGTTTTTCATCATATTCAGTAGGGACTTAAAGTTCAGCCTATCAATACTTGGTAAAAAATACCTGTTCTATATTATGCCTAAGATATTTGATCTTTAGATAGATAGTGAGGTTAAGCTTAGCAGCCCAGGTTGTATGGTAATAACAATAAGCTTCTCTTCTGGAGGGTTAATAACCTAAGTTTGCAAACCAAAATTAGAGAAAAAGGAGGGCCACGAGGAAAGCCAACATTTTGGCCCTAGCCTTCCAAGGTCAGTTAAGACTCAGGACATATGAGAACTTGTACTGTAATGTTATGTGACCCAGTAGTGTCCCAAATTTTCTGGTCAAGGAGATTATGAGGCCAATGAGGGAAGTGATCGATGATGTAGAGTGTGCCTAAAGAGAGTCACATGGAAAGAAAACATTCTCTCAGGCTTTCACAGAGAGCACATTGGCCAAGCAGTGGCTGTGTCTGATCCACATGGCTGACACTGACAAAGGATCTACAGTCTGAGGTACAGGGTCTCAGGATAAATCCTGAGGGGATTTGACGGACCTTATCAAATCCAAAAGCTACATCTCTAGTTGCATAAGTCCTACTTTGTCTTGGTCTTAACCATCCAGCAGAAAAGTATGAAAATGATGTATAAGACGTAAAGCCATGGTGTAATATTGAGCCTTATGGGACTCAGGTCAACAATTTCTGACATTTCCAGTCAAGCAGAAGACCTAATACTCTTATGGACTACTGGACTCTTTTAGAATATTTTGCTGAGTTAACACACCTATAATATTCAAATGACAGAACTAAACAGACAAGCACTTATTCAACTGAGCTATCTCCCCAGCCCCTAATGGAACTAAGCAAAAAAGGGGATACAGATGAATGTCTATTTTGTATCTGTGTATTCTAAATGGTTGGTACAGATATATAGTTACATTCTCTTAATGAATAGAGGGATTTGTGCTAATAGTGTTTATAAATAGGCTATCATGTCTGCATCTTGTACAGCAAATGACCACTAGGAAGAGAGTATGCAATGTGTTAATTATTGAAACTGTCCTACCAATTTGATTTGAAACTGTCTCATTGCTATTTGTTTCTCAATAAAATTATGAGGAAAAAAAAAAACAATCTAAGAGAAGGCAGCACCACTAAAAGGACCACCATTCTTCCTTTCCTTTCCACCCTGTGGGGCCTTTGTGGAAGTGTGGCTTGGTGAGCAGTGTGAGTTTGTAGGCTGCTCTTAAGTGGCTCAGTGCTTGTCTTATGATCTGAACATAAGTGAGTCATAGACAGAGTGTTAAGAGGACAGATGGAGGCAAAGAGGATTTAGGGCTAGGACTAATTCATTTTCATATGGACCTGCGTCAGAGGCTGTTATATTTATAAATGCCAATATCTACCTCACTGCAAAAAAAAAAAAAAAAGCCACAGAAATTTTCAGTGATTGCTAATTAAATTCAGAGATATTCCTGAGCTTCAACTGCCTATATTGTAGGGTAGTAATATAGTAATAACAGGCTTCTCTTCTGGAGGGTTAACAACTTAAGTTTGCAGACCAAATATTAGAGAAAAGGGACGCAAGGACAGCCAACATGTTGGCCCTAGCCTTTCAAGGTCAGTGAAGACTCAGGACATAGGAGATCCTATAATGTAACATCATGTAACTCATTTGTGTCCCAAATTTTCTGATCAAAGAGATTATAGGGCCACAGAGGAAAGTGTTCAAGGACGTAGAGTGTGCCTAAAGAGAGTCACGTGGAGAGGAAACATTTTCTCAGGCTTTCACAGAGAGCAAGTTGGTCAAGCACTGGCTGTGACTCATCCACATGGCTAACACTGACAAAAGATTTGCAACCTGCAGTACAGGGTTTCAGGCGAAGTTCTGAGGGGATTTGACTGACCTTTTCAGATCCAAAGGTTGCATTTCTTGTTATATAGGTCTTGCTTTATCTTGGTCTTAACTATCCACCAGAAAAGTATAAAAATGAAGTATAAAAAGTAAAGCCATATTAATATGCTGAGCTGTAAAAAGCTCAAGTCAACAACTTCTGACATTGCCAGTCCTACGGATAACCCACTACTGTTATGGACTACTGGACTATTTTGCTGAATTCACGCACCTACCATATTTAAATGACAATGGAATGCCCTTCTCTGACAAAACTATCCAAAAAAGGAGGATACAAATGTAAAACCATTTTGTATCTGTATACTCAAAATAGTTAGGATAGATATACAGCTGCTTTCTCTTAATTCAATGAATAGAGAGATTTGTTCTAATAGTGTCTGTAGACGGAATGTCATGTCTGCATCTTGTACAATGAATAACCACTAAGACAACAATATGCAGTGTATTAATTATTGAAACTTCTAGTAATCAGTTTTGAAACTGTCTCATTGCTGTTTCTCAATAAAATTACTTAAAAGAAAAAGAAAAAAGAAATATTCCTGAGCTTATGAGCTTATGCCATGTGCAGGAGATAAGTAGGTAAGAGATGAGGACTTTTTCATTAAATTAAGACCTATCCTGAGAGAAGCAAATGGCCATTCTCTATGGCAGAACAAATTCCTTCAGTTATTATAGTTTCTATTTCTTAAAAGTCAGAGACTTGGGATTTTTATAGAACAAAACCATGTGGTAAGGCAGGTCTAAGGTGGAAAACATGAGTATGTACTAGGTGAACATGAAGTGGAACAAATCTGTGGTCAACTAGTAATATTATAAGCACAGTTGCTCAGATAAAAGTGATTAAATCCAGGACAAAATGGGAAAGCCAGTGATGTAGCAAGTGGGCATGAATGCAGAACAGGGGCTTCTCCTATAGGGGGCTGGGTTAGTGACTCTTCCTGGCTTTCTCAAGGTGAGAGACCTGTTTAGAAAATCAGTGCTTGATGTTTATCTTTAGGGAGGTGTGCCTTTGTTTGATCTTTGGAGGTCTGACCCACAGAGGGAGTGTCTGTCTCTTTCATAGTTGCTAGGTTATCTGGCCTTGCATGCTGGCTCTTTCTGAGTATGTGGCCCTGTTTGACACCTATAATATTTCTATCTAACTCAGCTGTCAATAACATTTTCCCTCTGAAGAAATAACCTGAACTGCCATGAGGAAACAATGGAGGATGAACACTTTGGCTTAAAAGAGGTCTTAGGTGCACTTAAAGATAGTCTCCAGAGTCTAAAGTCTAAAGGCCCTTGATAGACATCAGGCATTTTCTTCTTGGTTAGGCATATAACTGTGAGTCTGGAGACAAAGCCAAAGAAATAATTAAACATTCATGGGCCAAATAATAATATCAACAGAATAATTATGGATATAGTCAAAGATTTTTACAAAGAGGAGCCAGTAATGGCTTCCCATAAAGATGATAAAGGTAGGATCCAGGGGACCCCAGTGTCTCACATACCATTGATTTGATGTCTGATATCTTGAACAGCTGTTGAGACATTAGCAGAAGGGTCATATAACAAGCAGGCATGAATGTAGAACAGGGGCTGTTAAAGATATCAGAGGTTCAGGAATTTAATAACCTTTTTTTTAAGTTTATAATTATAAAATTTTTAATTTTTGTAAATATAAATTTTTTGTTAAGTTTGTAATTAGAGAGGCTGGCCAAATAGCTCAGTGGATTAAAGCACCTACAAACAGGTACAGGGTTGGGGGTTCAATCCCTGGGCCTGCCATGCCAGCCCCGCCCCCAGGACACACTAAGAGGCAGTTGAGATGGGGCGTGGTGGCACACGACTGTAATCCCAGCTCTTGGGAGGCTGTAAACAGGCGGATCACGAGTCTGATCTAGTAGTGAGACCCTGAACACCCTGTAGATCCTTCCCTAAAATACAAAAAATAAAAAAGTTTGTAATAGAACTAACTACTCTGCTGCCTACATCAGTATGGCATATGCTGCTCAGTGAGCCTCAGATATCCAACGCATGTTGCAGAAGTTAAAAGGGTTTGCAGGAATAAATTTGTCTCAGTTGATATAACTTGCTCAGAAAATGTTTCATAATAAAGAGGATACAAAATGGAAATATAGACAAAATAAGAAAAAAATGATGCTATCAGCCTTGAGGAAGCCAAAGACTTTATTTACTCTTTTATTTGTTTTGACTCAATAAGATAAAAGCAAACCTTAAAGAAAATTGGTAAGTCCTGAGGACATTGTTAATCTATAGCCAGATTTTTAACTACCAAGGGCTGCAGAGAGGTTATTTCTACATCAAAACATTATTTTATGCTAGGAAAATAACATAGTTGTGAGTGAAGAGACAATAAATTCATTCCAAAAAATATTTTTACAGTGATTATCCAGAAAATGAAGAAATAAAGAATCTTCTTCAAGAACAGTTGAATTCATTGTCAAAGTAAGTGCATTTTTAATGGAAGAAAAAACTTAACTTTGAATTTTAAAAAATTAAAATAATTTATATTTTAAAAATGTTAATGGCCCAAAAAGAGACCATTCTTTTCGTAGAGATTTGTTTTCCTTTAAAACTTTATTGTGTAATAAGAGGAACTACTTGATAGTGACAGAAATCGAACATCTTTCCTCACCAATTTTATGAGAGTGTTCTGGATGTTAGAGCAGAACTAGAAGCAGTAGTACAAAACCTTTTACTTGTCTCTACCACAAATTCCCTGTGAAGCTGCGTGCTGTGAATATGGACAGGCAGTTCTTTAGTATCCACTTTCCTTTTCAGGCATTGGGTGGGTACAGTTCTGGTAGAGAAATTCCTATGTTCCTTTGGGTCCCATATGCATTGAGAATAATATTTGAAAGACAATAAAAATGTATGGGTTCACAAGGAATTTTTTTGTAAAATATAATACATTTACCAGATAAGATAACATTTAAGAAATTACCCATTAAATAATGTTTTGTTGACAAAGTAAAAATAATTATTTATTGTTTGCTGTATTCAAAGATTAACATTTATCTTTATATCTTTCTCTTGGCTTAGGAACATTCCATTTTAGCTATTTTAGGAACATCAATTTATAAAACTGGTAACCATTCTTTCTTAAAAATAGTTCATAATAATATCCGAATGCCTTAAGTATACACTTTCTGATGATTAACAAAATAATTTTTATCAACAGTAACAACTTTCTTTCAATCATTAGGTGTCTTAATTACTTTTCTAATTGCTAAGACAGTCAGAGTTGGAGGAAGAAAGGTTGTAGAAATTTCAATCCATAGTCAGCTGGCTCCAAAACAGGGCAGCAAGGCAGAGGAGTAGCAGTCCATGGTGTGGCCGGTAGAAAGCAGCAGCAGCAAGCCTCCCTTTCCCTTTTGTCCCCTGCAGTCTACAAGCCTGTTGGTGGGCCTACAGCACACAGTAGACCTCATTATTCACATCCAGAACCATGTTAAAGCAATCAGTGGACTAATTTAGTACTATACACCTTTAATCCCACACACCCTGGATCTAACCAACTCTACAAGGCCCCCCTGAGCACATAAGATTCTGGGAGTATATCTATCTACAGTTCATACCATTAGGCCACTGTTCATATTTTTGAAAACACAAGCTGGACTGTGGCAAGACTGCAAAGTTGGAGCAAGTGACAAGAACTACAGGGCGGCGGGTGACAAGAACTACTTATTCTGGGCTAGGTACATTCTTAGCCTGTTCAGCTTTTGTAATCTCAGAGTCATGACAAAGTAACTTTACTTTTGTAAAATCGAAGTGGAATTTTTCCAATTAAAGAGTATATTATCTCCTTGCTATAGTTTAATTCAGTATGTTTCTCTTACCTCTGGTTTCCTGTCTGTAGTGACATAAAGAAACTCCTGCTTGATCCAGAATTCACTGTCTTGCAGAGATGCTTGCTTATTTCCAGGTAATGCTGTTTGAATATTTACATGTAAGAGATGGAGAGTTTCAAATAAACTTATTTCTCTTTCTAAGGAATTCTATTGAAGTTATGACCAAACTCATATGATATAGAAAAATATTGTGACCCTGCTTTAAAATTGACTTATAGTTAATTTTGAGAGTAGTGATGCAACCTCAGTGGAGTAAGCACCTTCTTAGGCAAGTGTATGGACTGGGGTTCAATCCCAGGCACCACATGCACCCCCAGGTGCACGAGCCAGCTTCACAGACTAGGCATGGTGCTGCATGACGGTAATCTCAGCACTGGGGAGGATGAAAACAGGAGGATCACTACAAGTCTGAGCTGTAAAGTTAGACCCTGTACCAAATACAAAAATTAAAAAAAATAGTAGTAATACAAAGGAAAAATCAGACTACATTTTAATCATGAGATCTAGTCCTAATACAGTGAAAGAGCTTTTTAGTAGCTTTCTAAACTGTGTGTTTTAAAATACCAGATAGAAATTGTATGTATTTAAATAGATCTACAGAGCTGGGGAGATAGTTCAGCAGACTAAGCGCCAGCCTGGCAAGAGCAAGAACCTGGGTTTGATCCCTGGTACTACATGCCATGCCAGCCCAGAGTACCCGGACACCGAAATCGGGTATGGTGGCCCATGCCTGTAATCCCATTGCTGAGGAGGCTGAGACAGGAGGATCACTATGAGTCCAAGCTGCATAGTGAGACCCTGTACCAAATAAATAAGTAAATGATTAAAAAATAAATAGGTGTACAGTGGAGTCCTCACTTCTTTAAAAATCCTCTATGCTCTAAAGAGAAAATAGAAAATTACTTTCATACTTTATCTACCAAGTTATTCCACTAGAACTTCCTACTTTAAAGCTGTTGCCCACATGGCATGCTTATGGCAAATCAAGTAGAAAATTGATCTTGACAAAGAACACAGATACTGGGGTCTGAAAGAACCTTATGGAGTCAGGCCCCATGCTGTTGGGAGTCTAGGTAGCTAGAGAATTTGTCATTTCCCCTTCCCAGGACCCATGACAATGTCCCCATGGATGGTGAGGAGAGAGTATTATATTCCTAGCACTTTAGACCACCCCCAGAATCCCTGTCGACGTATAGGCTTACTCTGTGAGTTGTAATCTTTGTTTCACCCTTCTCAGGCTTTATGGTGATGAGTCAGAGCTGCACTTCTGGACTGTGGCAGCCCACTACTTGCACAGCTTGTCCCAGTCCAAGTCAGGAAACTCGGCAGCAACCAAAGAAACTACACCTTGGGACAAGTTGAACAATCCATTGGATATATGTTATGATGTACTCTGTGAAAATGCTTATTTTCAGGTATTGTTTAAACGTGGGAAATTTTCGCAGTAAGTTAAAGTCCACATCATAGAAATCAATCCCATGGCATATTTGCATAAATATGTTTCCAGACTGCAAAGGTCATCAACAGAATTTTTAATAGGCATTAAATTTTTATTATTAAAATCTTTGTCTTAAATTTTTAACTTAGAGGGTTCATTTTAGTTCTCCCACTAAATTTTCTATTAATAAAACTATTTTATTTATTTGGTTACATTTATTTAAAATATATAAAGGTAGTTTCATAATGTTTAACCTCCAGAAAATTTTTTTTTTTATCCAGTTCTACTCAGGTGCCAGTTTCTAAAACAGGTAAACATGCACACAGATAGTAGTGTATTTCAGCAATTTTTCCTTCAAATTTTTATTAAATTCTTAAATTTCTATAGTTATATTGCAACCTCACAAGTCAAAACAGTGATTCTTAAAATGACTTTATTATGTATAACCAAACTGAAATAATTCAAAAATCTTATATTCTAGTCTCAACTGTTCTTTCCTTTCCCCCCACTTTAGAAATTTCAACTGGAAAGGGTTAATCTTCAGGAAGTAAAACGGTCAACTTATGATCACACTAGAAAATGTACAGACCAGCTACTACTCTTGGGTCAAGTATGTCACTTTTTATCATTTTTTTTTTTCATGCCTGTCATGATATTGCCCCCTTGAATGTATTTCCTTCTCTGAAGATTTAGACTTCCTTTAAAAATAAAACCAAAAGACATTCTGAGAAAGCAAAACTTGACTTGTAATTTGGCTTCAGTAATACTGGATGAATCTCAGCTGCTTGGTTTGTTTTTCATCTCTAAAGTCACTGGTACAAAGCTACAGTAGGCAGTTACTTGAGCACTTATCCACCAGACTGCTTTTGTGTGTAGTAGTTTTCCTTTGTGCAAACAAAACATTCATAAAAAATTTTTAAATGAACTTTCCTTAAGCTATAGATTAATGTTCCATGTTATAAATTTTAAAAGGTCTTATTGGTAGCAAATGTTTTTGTAGTTATAAAAACTGTTTCTCTTACTAGACAGACAGAGCTGTGCAGTTGCTATTAGAAACAAGTGCAGACAACCAACATTATTACTGTGACTCACTGAAAGCCTGTTTGGTCACCACTGTCACCTCTTCAGGACCCTCTCAGAGCACCATTAAGCTGGTGGCAACTAATATGATTGCCAATGGCAAGCTGGCAGGTGAGGTACATACTCTGGCCATATGTTTCCATGTTATGGAAAAGTGGACCTGTGCTCCACAAAATATTTTATTTATGAGGATGTATCTTTCTCTTCTATATATGCTGAAGAAAAATTAAAAAGTTACGACTAGTTTATTTATAAGATAACTATAAATTATGCACTGGGTGTGGTGGCATTCAAGTCAAGTGGCCTGTAATCCCAGCACTTGGGAGGCTGAAAACAGGAGGACCACTACAATTCCAATCTGTGTAGTGAGACCCTGTAGATCCTGTACTAAATACATTAAAAAAAAAAAAAAAAAAAGATAACTGTAAGTTATTCATTTCAACTAGAGCATGTTTGAAGAGTGGGAGGGAACACTGTTAGTAATTGCCAAGACAGTGGCCTAAGTTGGACATTCCTGAGGAAGTGGATGATAAAGCATGTAGGATGTGCTCTACTTGTTTATTTCCTGGGCCATGTTCATGTTAATTTTATCCTTGTTATTTGAGTGTTAGTGTTATATCCAACTCTGGGTTTTATTTATTTATTTATTTATTTATTTATTTATTTATTTACTGGTACCAGGAATTGAACTCAGGACCTTGCACTTTCCAGGCAGATGCTTCCACCTCTGAGCTATCCTCCTGGTGCAGTATTTTATTTTAAAATTCAAGTCGAGTACTTTTTTTGGTCCAGTTTTAGTGTCCCTTGTCTGAGATGCTTGGGACCACAAGCATTGGAGATTGTGGATTTTTTTCAAATTTGGGGATATTTGCATATGTATAAGGTATTTTGGGACTAGCACCCAAGTCTGCTCATGAAGTTAGTTTTTGTTCCATATATACCTTAAACCTATAGCCTGAAAATCATTTTATGTAATATTTTTAATTTTGCGCATGAAACAAAGTTTCATGATATAAACTTTTTACTTTTAGTGTCATGTTGATGCCTTAGAAGTTTCAAAATTTGGAGCATTTTGGATTTTAGATTTTCACATTTGATGTGAAATGGCCATCTGCTTTCTAATGACTTGTCCAAGAGTGCTGCAGTGTCACATGAGCAGCTTGCTCTTCTGTCTTCCAGAGGGCGTCCAGTTGCTCTGCCTGATAGACAAAGCTGCAGATGCCTGCCGCTACCTGCAGACATACGGCGAGTGGAATCGGGCAGCGTGGCTTGCAAAGGTTGGTGATGGTTGTAGGTGTCAGAAGCATCTGGGATGGATGGCTCAGTGCTGAGCCTCATGATTTGGAATCTCAGCAACACTGCTTCGCAAATGTTTTCTTGAAACTCTCGTCCTGCCTCCTATTTTTTTGTAAGCCACATACAACATTAGGAAATGGAGCTTACATTAGTAGCAACTAAGTGAAAGCGGCTATCTGCTCTGTGCTGGTGTCTAATCCAGCCTGCAGCCCACATGTGATGCCAGCCCTCCTGGTCCTATAGCACAGTAAGCCCTCACTTCAGGACAGTGTGATAGCCAAGCAGACCTCAGTGTGTATTGCGTAGGGACAGATCCTACTTTGATTTCATTATTTTTCCTTAGAGTGTGGGATGTTTTGTTTTTAACATAGGTATCTTTCTCAGGTCCGTTTAAATTCTGAAGAATGTGCTGATGTTCTGAAGCGGTGGGTTGACCACCTTTGTTCTCCACAAGTTAATCAGAAGTCAAAGGCCCTCCTTGTCCTTCTATCCCTGGGCAGTTTTTCCAGCGTGGCAGAAATGCTTCACAGGTACACCAAGAGCCCGCGGGCTACTCAGTAATGCCCGTGGTTTTCTTTTTCTTTTTTTTTTTTTTTCTGGTGTTTTGTTTTTTGCAGTACTAGGGATGGAACTCAGGATCTTGTGCTTGCCAGGCAAATGCTAATTCTACTGAGCTATCTCCCCAGCCAGTAATGCCCATGTTTAATCGCTTCAGCTTTGCTGAGGCTTTACTAGATAGGAACATTCAATAGGCAGAGAGAAAGGAGAAGTATATTTTAGATTTCCTTGAACAAAATAGCCTAAAGGATAGTAGAGCTGTCTATATTCATTAATACTTCACTAGGACTTGTATTTTCCTGTCAATATACTGGTCAAACCTAATAGATCCCTACTTAAAAAGAAAATAAAAGAATTTTTCAGAGAATTGGAAAGGATTCAGCTTTGACCAGAACAGCCAAGAGAAAGCAGAGAGTACTAAGAGGGAACCGAAGGCAGGGCAAGGTAGGATGTTGCTCCTGAACTCCGCAAGGAAGGGGAACCATTTCTTCTTATGGAACATTTATTTGTTGAGGAGCAGAGAAGAAAGGCTGAGGCAGATGTGTCTAAAAATGGCCTGTTAAATCTGGATAGCAGTGTGTGGCCCTTGTCATACTGCTATAGGTTTCAGTGTATTTAAACTGTTTGATAACAGTAACGGCCTGAAGTTGGGAACAGATGTCTTTTCCCTTCCTTTATGAACCAGGGCTTAGAGAGATGCTGGAATGACTCCTCTAGCACTCAGTTTCCAGGGAAAATGTGTACAAGTCTTTGGATAGAAATGCACCCTTAATTGATTCTGCCCCAAAAGATGTAAATCACAAAGGCTAACTCTTCCTTTGTTCTGTTGAGCAGCATGAGGTACTTTGACAGAGCAGCCTTATTTGTGGAAGCTTGTCTCAAGTATGGTGCTTTTGAAGTCAGTGAAGACACTGATATCCTTTGCAAGGACATTGATGCTGTGGGGGGAAGAGTGTGACAGCACTGAGATTTGGAATTTCTCTTGGTTTGCTGTAAGATGGGAACATATTGTCTTGAGAAAAGCTCAAAATGTGTTTCACCAAAGCCAGGAGAGAAGGAGAAATGGGAAGAAAAACAAAGCACAGGTCACTCACCTTTGGTGCTAGGCCTGGCTGGATGGAGAGCGTGTGGGAAGGATAGCAGGGGGAGGAGCCCTAGGTTAGTAATGTTCTCTTGAACATTAAAGAAGTTGAAGGAAATAATTTAGCCAGCCAGATAGCCCAGCGGACTAAAGCTCCTGCTTAGGCAGGTGCAGGGACTGCATTTCAATCTCTGGCACCATATGCCATGCGGGACCCGCCTCTGGGGCACACTGAGAGAGCAACTGAGACTGGGCCTGGTGGCACACACCTATAATCCCAGGGCTTGGGAGGCTGAAAACAAGAGGATCACTATGAGTCCAGTCTGTATAGTGAGACCCTGTACTAAATAATAATAATAATAATAATAATAATAATAATAATAATGATAATAATAATAATAAAGGTCTGGTCCTTAAAAATAGTGTTCTTAGACTGGGCATAGTGGTGCACGCCTATAATCCAGCTCTTGAGAGGCTGTAAGCAGGTGGACCACTATAAGCCTAATCTAGTAGTAGAGTAGTGAGACCCTGAACATCCTGTGTACCCTTCCCTAAAATACAAAAAATTAAAAATAGGTGACAACTTAAAAATAGTGTTCTTTCAAAGCAAGGCATTCTACCCAATAAATTGGATATATTTTTCTGGAAAAGATTACCAAGAAAGTATAAAAGAAAAAATCTATTGTATACTTAGTGACAGGTGTGATATGGAACAAGATAAAGTCTGTCAAAGAGATGTGTCGCATAGACAGGCCATGGTGGCCCACCCACAGCTAAGATCATTATTCTTTTAGGCATCACTCAGATCACATGTTTTTCTCCTAACTACTTGGGTTTGTATGATTGCTTTTTTTCATTGTCCTTTTTGTTAAGTTATTATATTTGGCCTCTTTTTCTATATATCAGATATGTGGTTCTGTGTATATATGTTTTCAAAACTAAAAACTAAAACTTCTATTTCAAGTGATAGCCTGATTTGACGCAGTCAAGTTCCTGATTAGTGGTGAAGTTGACTGGCTCAAAGTGCCCATTTCAGAATATAACGAATAGAGCTGACTATAAATCCAGCACCCATGTATAGAGAGCCCCCAGCCTCTCAGAGAATCTCATATGGAGTGGGTTGCATTAAGTTTCTCTTCTCCCATTCTCTCTTTCCAGTCTGCAGATGAGTATAGGTGGTAGGAGGCTCTGGGAAGAAGGTGGGCAGGTTTCTGGGAGGAGAAGCTTTGGACTCACCGGTATACAGTGCAGTGTTGTTATAGACTGAGACAGCACTTGGCCCAGCAGAGATTCCTGAGCTCATTGCACTGCCCGTGGGTCCCTGGAGCTGAGCTGCCCCTCTGGCTCCAGAGCCTGTGTGGAGCAGCAGTCCAACCCATTCTGTTCTTCTTTCTTTAACTGCTGTGTACAGAAACTCATCACAGCCATATACACAGACTACGCTCGAAGTTTGAAGAATATTGGTTTTAAACAAGGAGCAGTTCATTTTGCGTCAAAAGCTGGTGAGGCCGGCAAAGATTTATTGAAGGAACTGGAACCTCCCAAGGTATTATTAAATGAGGACTGACAGGTTCTGTGCCAGAGTATGAGGGTGAAAGCAGGGTGTGAGGGAGAACTGACCTGACTGTTGTTGTGGTCATGGGCAAGCTCCAGTCTGATGAGGAGGACAGGGTCCTTGGGGTTGTTTTACCACGAGGTTCTCCTTGTACAGCAGTGTGGGCATTTATATTAGCGCAAGCTCTGCATCCTATGTTGAATCAGAGAAGAATGTGATTGCTTCAGAGCTTGAAAGTGTACATACTCTCTTGTATACTTCTCAAGAAAGAGCTTTAAGCCAGAAATGCTTACGATTTTTTAAACTTAAACATTGAATTGCTTTTGTCATTAACTAAATCTAAAGATGTTGAGAAATCTAAGGAGTTTATGAGGTGGATTCTCAAATGTGTGCTATGCTGTGTTTATATACAATCATTCAAGATGCAGACAGGGCAAAAATATTTACAGGTAGCTTACCAGAGCATTTTGTGGGTTTTTTTTGTTTTGTTTTTTGTGGGGTTTTTTTACTGTGAAAATACAGATGATTCTTTGGTTTAGGCAGCTGACAAATTTTGTAATTTTAGAGATACAGGCCTATGGGAAGATTTTAAGCTTTATTTCAGTTTCAGTCTGTGGGGGCTTTGATATTTTAAATTTTAACTCCTATAATGCATTATAGCAACCTCATTTTTGAAGTCTGTCTTTGTACTTTAATTCTCTGTCTTCATGTTTTCCAGTAGGTGAAATATATGGAATATAACTGTTATAAATTATTGCTGAAACTTTCACTGTCTATAACTTAACAAAAATGATAAATAAAAAGAAAATTCTACTGGGGTCTTGTATTCTCTGAGTTGTTCCTGAGTAAGGGCTGCCTGCTGAGGTGTCATCTAGCTACCCAGCCTCCAGCATCAGGACAGAGCAGGGCTGACACAGAGCACTCTGCCCAGGTTCCTGAGGGGCACGTGGCTTTGCACTTGGCTCCTAGAAACAAGGGCCTGAGCCTGCAGGGTGACACGTAGCCTCACACCAACCAGAAGGTATGGTTTTTAGTTGCAGACTTTCTACACTTAGAAATCCATCAGTCTGACCCCTCTGGCAAGAAGCAGCTGCAGAGAGGAAGAGCCTGTCCTATAGTGCTTACTCCCAGACTGGTACTTTGGCCAACAGCTCTAGAAGAAATCCACATTTATTCCTCGATCCTGTACCTGACTCACTTTACTAGTTCTTTTGTCACCCAATCAAGTGACATTAGAAATTTTTAAGGCCCTTTTTATTTTGTGTATTATTTTAAATGACTGTTGAGATATATTTCATGTATTGAGTCTTAGCTCACAGTGCTGTATCCAGATGCCACAGATGGGGTGGCATAAGTAACAGGCCTGTATTGCTCATCCTCCTGGATGCTGGAAGCCTAATCAAGGTATGGGCCGATTTGGTTCTGATGGAGCCGGTTCCTGGCTGACAGAAAGTTGCCTTCTTACTGTGTCTTCTTTGGCCTTTCTCTGTCTTTCTATTCTTATAAGGCACAGACCCCATGATGTATTTTACACCCTCCTGTTATGTAGTGTGAATCAAAACTGATTTAAGCATATCAGTTTTCAGAGCCCTAGCTTCTAATACTATCACGTTGAGGGCTGAACCCAACAGTCAGCCATAACCACCATCAATTGGCTGAAGAAACAACATGCCCAGCTTAAGGAACAGAGAGGGAAAAGATAACATTTTATTCCAAAGTAGTGTGTCTTGAAAATTAGCATTCTTTGAATTAGAAGCTGTGGTGGATTAACGGTTAATTTTGTAACACCAGCTGAAGGAAGCATGGTTCTGGGGTGTGAAAGGCCCACCTGAAGATTGCCGCCAGTAGCATAAAAGGAAAACTGGAGGGGAAGATGGTGTGCTGTTGCTGGAGAAGCTTGTTGTGCTGGTTTGCGTGATATGAACTCAGCTGTTCTCATCATCAGAGGAGCTCAGGTCTTCTTGCTGCTGAGGATGGCTGCAGTTCTCTTTGACAGAGCTCTGGTCCTTACTCTGAGCATCACTTCCTGACTCAGGTACAGATCCCTCAGCCTGCTGACACAGATCCTTTATCCCACTGGCACAGACTTTCTAGCGTCTGTCACTGATCCTTAGGCCTTCCCAGTGCAGATCCTTGATATAGACTTGCATGAGACATTGTCATGGGCTGAAGGCCTCGACTTGGACTAGTGGAGAACATTGCCACGGGCTCTACGTCTTCAGCTGAACTCATGCAGGACATTGCCACAGAATCCAGGCCCTCAGTTGGATTCTTTGAGTCTCTAGCGCATGGACAGATCTCTTATACTCTTCTGCATTTGACTTTTTGGGTGAATGTTAAAAAATAACCCTATAAATTATGTGCCTTGTGTTAAATCTCTTTCCTTGAAAACCCTGACTACAACAGAATCCAGCAAACAAGCAGTGAGGCATTGCCTGATCATGGAAACAAAGAAGTGGGACCAAAAACAGCAGCTGCGTAGAAACCTCCTGGGTAGACAAGGCCAAGGGCGTGGATTTATGTCAAAGGCCAGCTGGTCAGTGCAGTATTCAGAGACCAAGTCCATGTCAGGATACAACTGAAAGTCTGTTTCAGCCACATGGGGCTCCCTTCCTTATAATCTTGGCCACAGAGCTGAAGCTGATGTACTCAGCTCTTGGAAGCATTAGAGGTCAAGCTGAACAAAGCCAAATTGTTTTTCACATTCATTCTTTCTGAACATAGTTTATCTTCTCATGAAGAATCTCTAGGGACAATGTCATCAATGCATTGTTAGTAAAGAAAGATTCACATGGGAAGCCAGTCACTAGGACTAGAAATTAGAACAGGGAGTATGGCTTCAGGGCAGCAGCCCTTCCTTGTACCATGAACCTGTGTGGCAGCTGGAAGATGTAGGCAGAAAGTGGAGTGTCTGCTGGAGAAAGGTCTAGTGCTGGTTGCTCCTCTTGCCTGGTCTTGGAGCCATTCCTGCCATTCATTCACTCCCAGGGACATTTTTCCTGCTGTGTTGCAGGCAAGTGACTGCCAAAGGCAAAGTGTCTCACCCCAGTTTTGCTTGGGGTCTTTCCATTACTTTGGAGGTAGCAGCAGGACATTCTGTTCTTCTAAAATAGTTGTCAGAGTGGCATCAACACAGACTTCTTCACACCCCTCTCACTTTGTAAGCAGAAAGTCTCAGGCTAACAGATACAGGTAAGAAGACTGTTCCCCTTTTGGCTGTGTATTTCCTGGAGCGTTCCTCTTACAGGAAGATGCTATCATGTTTCAGTGAATCTTGAGCCCTGTGATTACCCGTGACAGTTTATTCTCAGCAACAGTATGTGATTAAAGGAAAGCATCGGGTAACAAACTGTAAGGAGTTCTGCCAGGTAGGAGTGAGGGATGGGTGAAGATATTCTAAGCAGTGTGAGAGTGGGTAGCTCTGTTTCTGTGGGATGCTGCTTGTGATTGTTTTGATTAATTCAAAACAATTTATAAATGAATGAAATATTCAATTAAAATGGAAAGACATCGTTACACTTTGTATTGGGCTGGTATTTAAACACAAACAGGGAGAAATTACCAGACCCTCAGATTATAGTTCACCTTAAAACCGTGCATTCCAATGAGATGGGCAGGAAAGAATGTGAAGGAGCACCTTGTCCAGCCTCCTTCCTTGTCATTCAGGGCTCCTAGATGATTTATTTCCTCACATATGTGTGTTCGGTCAGCCATGCAGCGCACAATAGCCTGTACAAGCCCCACCTCTCCTTTTCTGGCTCGCAGATAAGGGCCCACAGATGACATCAGGCATTTCTTTCCACTGTTTAGTTCTCATGACTTAAAGAAGTCCAGCGAGCACCACCTCTCCTTTTATCTTTTTTTGCGCAGACATTGACAAACTTGACTTGAAAGTCGTTTTACTAATTCCTGGAGTAAAAAGAACCCTCTGGTATTGAGACTGGTAGTTTTAGTTTTCCCATCTTCCATATTTAAAGTTAGCAAAGTCAAGAGCAATGAAAGAAGAAAATTTATTCCAAATCTTTCAGAAAAATTGGATTTAGACAAATGTTTGAGAATTTGAGATGAAATACAAGTATATTTATCTGTCACTTCTGAAAATGTAGCTTGAGGTACTTCGGCTTCCTTGCTTCAGTAGCCTATTTTCATGGGTAGAAAGCTACAGAGGGAGGTCTCCCCAGCAGCACCTCTAGCAGGTGATGCACGAGGCTAGGGACTAGTCCATTTAGCCTGCTCCCTATATCTGTAAGTTTTCCTGGGACACAACCAGGCCTGCCTATTCATTGTGCATAGCCACTTTTGACAGCACAGTCAAGTACTGGTGACAGATGGGGGCCCAAAAAGCCTAAAACTTACTATCTGGCCCTCGACAGGAAAGAGTTTTCTAACTCCTGCTTGCTAGTTTTCTAACTGCTTCTTGTGTTGAAATCTCAGATACCCAGCGACCCTACTGGCTACAGATTGGCATGAGGTCCTTTGGGACTTTTCTGTGACAGGCAACACTAGACACTACCTCTCTTGTCCACTTCTTCCTACCCTTCAGACAGGTTAGAGATGAAACTTAGCTGAGTCCCAAATCAGTAGTGTACATTAAGTTTGCAGAAAAGAACTTATAAGCTTTAAGGATTCACATTCTACTTCTCTTCTTGGGAAGAGAAGCCCTGTCACGCAATCCTCCAGTGCTTGATGACCAGGACTTCCAATAATCCCACAGAACAGAAGCAAGAAGTGAAGCAACAGAGGAAACGATTTAAAGAGGAAAGTGTGATACAACCCGATGGAAGAAATTCAGGAGAAAATTGAGATGTCGTAACTTTGCGTAGGTATGTTGTGAAAGAGAGAGGGGCCTAAGAAACAAGATTTTTGTGGTTGACTGGGGGAAGTTACTTGAACAGTTTTCTAAGAACTACCTGTCCAACAACAAAACCTAGTCCTCTGGACTTGTACTTCCAGTATTCTCCAAGATTGTATATGAATTAGGAAGGTAATTGCATGGCAGGTTCTTAGCTGTTTGAAGTTGCTGATCTTTCTCAAGTATAGGCCAAGGAAAATATACCTTGTCCTGTTAGGCAGCCAGAAAGCTGTCATGTCTTTTATTTAGCAAGAGTCCCATATATATTCATTCACATGATGCTTAAAAAAATAATAATAATAAGCTGTCTGGGCTTATACTTAGGAAAATGCCATTGCACTCTCAAGAGCCCTTCTGGGGCTGCTCCATCTCTCAGACACTGTCAGCCACACCTTGCTTTTTGCCTCTGGAAAAGCTGCTCCACAAGGATGAAGCATCAATGCTGATAGTAAGTGGCGCCTGACCTTGGGTAGATTGTCACCTGACCTTATTTATAAAATAGTGACAATAGTTTGTATCTTGGTAGCTGAGAGAAAATGAAGACAACCACAAGGGCACCTCTATACAAAGTGTGTTCTGGTCCATGTTATTATTCAGGCGCATGTAAGACCTGTCTACTGCTGCTCATGCAGAAGGGCTGAGAATGTCACATCATCAGCCTTCATTCAGGGAGTCTTGTTAAAGTGACGTAGACAAGCCAGAGTAGGGACTGGCATGGGTGGGAGGGGGAAGGCGAGAAGAGAATAAAAGTGACTCCTGAAGCCTTTGAAATTGTCCACTGTGGTTGCAGAAAGCTTGTTTGGTAGAAAGAACTAGATCTGGAACCCATTTGGCTGCTGTCTCTTCCAGGTACCTCTAGAAGCAGGCTCTGCTTCCAGCCCTTCTCTGAAAACCCCCATACTCAGCAAGTCTGCTTAAGAGTCAAACTCATCCCTAACTCCTCCTTTCTAACCCTTTATTCCTATC